TCAGGGCCCCTCCTCTCAGTGCCCGCTCCGCTCCTCCCCCTCCTGCCGGCCTCTCCTGGCCTGGGGGCCCGGCCCCTGGGGCTCAGCCTAACCCCCCCCACCACTGCCCCCTCCGCCAGGGCGTCCTGCAGCTCAGCCCCTGAGCAACCTAGAAACAGGACAGCTGCACGCCCCGCGTGCCTGTTTCCCTGGACGGAGACCGGACACTGTGGCCTCCTCCAGGGCAGGGGCTGCTGGGCTGCTAGTGAGTGGGGGCCAGGGCACGGGCTGGGGGGGCAGAGGAAAGGAGAGCCTGCCTCTCCAGCCCCCAGAGCAGGGCACTGAGAGAAGTGGAGGCAGCAGTACCCTACCTGAGGGACCCAGCCCCGCAGGTGGCGAAAGCTGACAGGGACCCACTGGGGAAGACGGTGGGGGAGGCACCCCCTTGGGGGGCTCAGAGCCTGGGCCGGGAGGAGAGTGGCCAGAGGGGCTGAGCTTTCAGAGGGACGCAAGGCCTGCTCCCCAAGAGGGAATCTGGGGAGCAGGCTCTGCCTGGGAGGGGACGGACAAAGCGCTTGCAGAGCGCTGGGGCTGGGGGAGGCCCTGGGTCCCCGCCAAAAGCGACAGCGTGGGAAGGCGGACCCTCACCCGCTCCCTGTCCGCCCCCGCCCCCAGCCCGGGCCCTGCTCCCCACCCGGGCGCCCCCCGACCTCCTTCCCAGAGCCGCTGCTGGCTCGCCCCCGCTGGCACAGCGACGCACATGCGGGAGGCACACGTGTGCCCGAGCCCGCACCTCCCAGCGGAAGCCCGTCCCCCGCCCGCCGCCCTGAGCTGGGGTCCGGCCGGGCGAGGGGCTGGTGGTCCCAGCGGCTGGGAGCCCCCTCCCCGCTCCCCCCGCCCCGCCCAGCCTCCTCCAGGTCGTCGTCCATTAAAAATAAATAAGTTCCCCCCAAACCCTCTCCCTTGTCACAGGAATGGGGGCTGCCTGCGGGGAGGGGGGGAGGCAGGCGGGCTGAGGGCCCTCCCCCAGGGGCACCCAGAGCTGCTGCTGCTGCTGGCACACGGAGGAGCCAGCGAGCGGGCAGGGGTGCTCACAGGGTGGGGGCAGTAGGGAGGTTCGCCTGGACTCGGTCCGGGCTCCCCTGGGGCCCGGCTGTCAGTGCCGGGAACTCAGCCCAGCCCCGCGCCCCGATCTGCGGAGCCCGAGCTCTGCCCGGGCCGGCCAGCCCTGGGGTCCCACACCCGGCGCCCCCGGCGCCAGCAGGAGACCGGAGACCGGTCCTCCCAGACCGCCCCGCACCCCGGCCCCCGCCCCCGCGCCCGCCCGCACCTGCAGCGCCGGGAGATCGCGGGGAGCAGCGGCCGGTCCGGGGGCGGCGGGGCTCCGGGGCGGCGGGCGGGGTCCGCTCTGACGCGGGGCAGACGCGGCACCAGCTGCAGCCGCTCCGGCTCGCGGGCCGTCAGCATCTCCCGCCGCCGCTCCTGCGCGAGTTCGCATCCCGGGCCGGGGGCGGGCTGGGGGCGGGCTCTCCGCCGGCTCCGCCCCACCTGGAGGAGCCCAGGCTGCAGCCCGCTCCCAGGGGCGCCCCCGGGCCGCGTTCCCCCTCCCAGGGGCGCCCCGGGCGGCATTCCCCCTCCCAGGGGTGCCCCAAGCTCCAGGCGGACGCCCAGGAGCTGGCTGGGCGGCAGGGATCGGAGGGGCCTGGCTCCGTCCCCCGCTGGGAGTGAGGGACCCAAAGAACAAAGCCCACGTGGACGCCCTGATGGGCAGCGCCAGGCGAGCCGCCCCCCCTCGGAAGTGTAAAAACGGGGTCGCGGGCGCAGGTGGCCAGGGAGGGTCCGGGACCCCCAGGCAGACTGGCCTTCCACCGGCCTCCACTCCTGCAGGCCGGAGCCTCTGCCACCCCCAATCTGGGCCGGGGTGTAGGGTGGCCCCGTCTGCCCTCTCCTCTAAGGCCCTGAATTCCCCAAACCAGAGTCGCCGCCGGGTGCTGTGGACTCGGTTTCCTTCCCGGTTATGGCACCCCAAACATACTGGCGAGGGACACACCAGCCGCCGGGCTGGGCTCTGGGCACACGGACCTCCCTCCGCCCAGAGGGCACTGGGGCCAAGCCCAGGCCGGAGCCTGGCTGCCGGCTGATGCGGGCTGGCTTGCCCGGGAGGCTGGGCGCTGCCCGCAGGAGCACTGAGGGGCCGTGCCACTGTGGTCCCTCCTCGGGGAGGCACGTGGCCGGTGCAGCCTGTCCCCCTCCCAGGCCCCGAGGCCTCTACCCCCAACCCGCCAGGAAGCTGCCACCCGCCTGGGAGGGCCAGCTCCAGCCCTCTGCCATGCGGTCTCCTCTGGGCTGTGGGAGTGACTCCCTACGAGGAAGGTGGGGCTGGGCGGAGGCTGCCCGGGAAGTGCCCTGGCACCTGCCTCCGGAGGCGAGGCCGAGGGGACCCTGCCCGCCCTGCCCGGCTTCGGTCCCCTCTTCCAGGGCAGCCTGAGGCCACCTGTGGGCAGGAGCCTGCGGCCGGCTGGTGTCCGCAGCGCCGAGCCATGTCCCCTCCCTGGCGGCTCGGCTGTCTGAGAATGAACGAGAGCTCCCGAGTGGTCCTTCCTGCTGTCTGCCCCCAGTCCTCCCTGCTGTCTGCCCCCAGTCCTCCCTGCTGTCTGCCCCCAGTCCTCCCTGCTGTCTGCCCAGTCCTCCCTGCTGTCTGCCCAGCCCTCCCTGCTGTCTGCCCAGCCCTCCCTGCTGTCTGCCCCCTGTCCTCCCTGCTGTCTGCCCAATCCTCCCTCCTGTCTGCCCACTGTCCTCCCTCCTGTCTGCCCCCAGTCCTCCCTGCTGTCTGCCCCCTGTCCTCCCTGCTGTCTGCCCTGTCCTCCCTGCTGTCTGCCCAGTGTCCTCCCTGCTGTCTGCCCACTGTCCTCCCTCCTGTCTGCCCCCCGTCCTCCCTGCTGTCTGCCCAGTGTCCTCCCTGCTGTCTGCCCCCTGTCATCCCTGCTGTCTGCCCAGTCCTCCCTGCTGTCTGCCCCCCGTCATTCCTGCTGTCTGCCCACCGTCCTCCCTGCTGTCTGCCCAGTCCTCCCTGCTGTCTGCCCCCCCGTCCCCGAAACAGTGGTGCTCTGAGCTGCACGGAGAGCAGAGCCATGGGTGGCTGACCTGGCGCAGGTCACAATGCCACCACGTTTCCCAGTCTCCCCAGGGCGTGCGTAGCCAGGCCTGGAGAGCCTGGGCTGGGCAGAAGCTGGGATGGGCGAGAGGAGGGGAGAGGTGGCTGCTGGGGCCTGGCTGGCTGCTGGCAGGGCTCCACCCTCTGGGTCCTGTGCACACTCCACGTGCCTGTGGGAGAGAGCACGTGGCAGGGTGTGTGCACACGTGTGAGTGAGTGTGTGTGTGTGTGTGTGTGCACGTGCGCGCACGCACACAGCTCTTCTGTTGGAGAAGGCAGCAGCACTCTGTGTGCCATGGTGCCCGGGGCACGTGTGTCTGCATTCTGTGTGCACCCAGGCGTGCTCGCTCGCGTGTGCGCATGGATGCGGTCGCTAGTCCCTGGAGCCACGGGTCCCTGGAGCCACGGGTCCCTGGAGCCCCGGGTCCCTGGGGACTCTGGTCCCTTCCTGTGTGACACAGGCCTTGGGGTTGTGGAGACTGGACCGGGTGTGGGGCCAGCTAACAGGAAGGACCGGGACGTGGCTGGAGGGGGCGGGGCTGTGGTTACCCCGTGCCATTGGCTGTTTCTAGTGTCACTCTTAGGGCAGCCCCTCACTCTCAGGCTCACGTGTGCGCGCGTGTGTGTGTGTGCGTGTGTGTGTGTGGGCGTGTGTATGTGTGTGTGTGTGTGTGGGCGTGTGCGGGCGTGTGCGCATGTGCGCGTGTGCGTGGCGGGAGATGAACCCGGGCTTTGTCTTCTGGGCAGTGGGAACCCGAAGACAGAACCAGGGCTGGGACGGGCACCGCTCTCCCTGCAGCCTCAGCCTCCGCTCCGCAGAGCGCACAGGGGGGGGGCTCCTCGTCGCGGCTTCGATCTCAGCTGCCCTCTGGGGAGGCGGCAGCCGCACAGGGCCAGCCATCCCTCCAGCTCTCCCGACACCGGCCGGGGACGGCGCCTTCCCACCCGCTTTCCCACCCGACACCGGCCAGAGGGACGGCGGGAGGCCCAGCGCAGGGCAGAGCGCGGGACAGGAGCAGGGGCAGTTGGCATTGGCAGTGCCCAGTAGCCCCTCGGAGGACCCACGTGCCGTGGCTGATGGGGGGTTAAAGGGCAGGAGGAAGCCGGAAGCTGACTATCCGGGCTCCCATCGGGCTGGCAGTCAGGGAGGCAGGATGCGGTGCGAGGCCCGCGTCCCTCCCGCAGCTCAGGTGTACCCCGGAGCCAGCCTTCCCGCCCTCTCACCCGCCCTTCCTGCCCCCGGACCAGAGGCAGCACTCCCTCCCCCTGCCCATCAGCACCAGCCCCAGAAGATCCAACGAAGGAGACCACGCGGAGCAGCCAGGCAGCTCCCGAGAAGCCACCGCCCTGACAGGCGCCGTCCCGGGGGCCAGCAGCGCCCCCACCCCGGCCGCCGGGGACGCCGCGCTGCCGTCGAGGCTGCCATGCTGCCGGCCTCAGCCCCGCGAAGGGAGCCGGGATGGGGGAGGGCGAACAGTCTTCCTCCGGAGCAAGGGGAGGGGGCTGCCCCCTCCGTGACTCACTCCAGGCTGTGTGGGTTATTACATTATGTTTGAAATCGCCATGGCAACCAGCTGGCAATCAAGGGTAATTGCACTTGTCGCCAGGGCAACGGGGCAAAACCCATAGCAGCCACTCTCTGTGTTTGCCCTTGGGGTGCAATAAAGGTCAGAGCCGCGCCAATGCCCAGGGGCCCAATGCCCAGGGGCCCCGGGCTCGGAGGGGGAGGCTGCCCGGACCTGAGGGGCTGGGGTGACTCAGGTGCACCAAGGGCCCGTCCCCGAACCCCGCCCGGGACCCCATTCTTTCCACACTCCGGGCCGGAAGCACGCACGCACTCAGAGCGACGGCAGCAGGACTTTATGTCTCAGAGCTGGTGCTTGTAGATGGCCCACGGGCCCTCCTCCTCGTACTCCCGGCGGCTGAGCCACAGGCTGCGGAAGGAGTCCCGGGAGGCCATGATGGATCCGCCCAGCCAGGCGGCCACGGCGCGGTGCGGGGAGCCCAGCACGGTGGCGCCGGGGCCCAGCTCCTGCTGCAGGCGCTCGGGGAAGCCGCGCACCAGCGTGCTGCCCCCGTCCAGCACCACGTTGGCCAGCAGCTGCTCCTGCTGCTGCGCCTCCAGCCGGGAGATGCTGAGGAGGGCCAGCTGCGGGAGGCCCGGCTGGCGGAGGCCCAGCAGGTGGGGCTGGAAGAGGGCCTCGGGGCAGCGGAAGCGCTCGGAGCCCAGGCTGACGACCTGCTCGTCCGGGAGCACGAAGTCCACGGGGGCCTGGGCCTGCGCGCGGGCCAGCTCGGCCTGCGCGTCCAGAGCCACGTAGCAGCAGGTCTCTTTGAGGCGGCTGACCAGCCCGGCCTTGGGCAGCGCGCGGCCGCCGGCCAGCAGCAGCTCCGCCAGGTACTCCGTGAGGTCCGCCCCGGCCACGTCCAGCCGGTAGGTGTGGAGCGGGGCCAGGTCCCCGGTGAGCACGGGCGCCACGTAGGAGGTGCCGTGGCCGCTGCCCAGCACCAGCCCGGTGGTGCGGCCGTGGGCGTAGAGCGCCAGCAGCGCCTGCTGCGCGGTCTGCATGGCGGGCACGTGGAAGCACTCGAAGAGGATTTCGGCCACCTTCTCGCGGTTGGTGCGCGGCGAGACGGGCGAGTCGGCCACCAGCACGGCCAGCTCCTCGGGCCGCAGGCCCAGCTTGCAGTAGAACAGGTGCTGCCACAGCACCTCCAGCGCGTCCCAGTCGGACACCACGCCCCGGGTCAGCACCGGGCAGGCGCCGCCGCCCGCGCCCAGCATGGCGTACCGGGGCTGGCCCGGGCCGGGCGGCTGCAGCAGCTGCACACGTGAGGGCACCACGCTGAGGACGTGGTCCTCCCCGGCCAGCCCGCACTTGGTGAAGCCGGAGCCCGTGTCGATCACCACGGCCGCCGAGCCCTGGGCGTGGCCCGGCACGTGGCGGCGGGGCCCGGGGGACGGCCCCGGCGGAGCGTAGTGGGCCCCGCTGAGCAGGCCGAGGCTCGTGACCACCGGCGTGGCGGTAAGGTCCTCCGCCGTCAGCTTGAGCCGGGGGCCCGGGGGCGCCGTGCCCACCGTGGCCATGGGCAAGACCTTGTTGCTGGTGCCGGGCGTGGTGAGCGTGACCAGGGAGAGCTGCTCCCCGGGGGCCCTGAGAGCACCGAAGGGCTGCCAGGGGGACAGCCAGCGGGCGTTGGGGCCGGGAGGGACGCCGAGGCCCACCGTTTCTCTGCTCACATACACGCAGGTCTCCTGGGCCAGGGGCACCCGGAGCACCCCCAGGTGGGCGGGCAGACCCACAGACTCCCCTTCCTGCCGCTGCGCGGGGGCCTGGCCGGCCTCCCTGGTGGACGGGGGGCCTCTGGAGAGCAGGGGCTCTTTGGGGGCGGCGGGCTCTTGGCGAAAGGAAGGCTGGCTGGTGAGAGAACGCTGCCGGGCGAGTGGGGTCCCAGGGAGAGGGGGCTGCCCGGGAAAGGGGGGCTGGCCCGCTGTGGGGTGCTGTCCGGAGAGGGGGCGCTGCTCACCCAGCGGGGACCAGCCGTGGAGGGGGCCCTGCCTGCTGTCTTCAGCCCACGGGTCCATCAGGTGAGCGGTGCTGGCCTCCTTCCGGCTGTGGCTGCCTGCCCTGGCTGCCTCCTGGGCTGGGGCGGGGGCCGGGGGGCCGGGCTCTGAGGCCAGCTCCGAGGCGGTCACCCGCAGCCTCCGGGGCTGGCCCGCCGAGGCGCCCTGCATCCCGGGCGCATCCAGGATCCAGATGGTGTGAGTGGAGTCACTTTTTCCAGCCGCAGGTCTGGGCCAGCCGGGATCCTGGCTCGGCGTCCTGTCTCCCACCTGGAGGGGCGCCCTCACTGGAATGGGCGTCCCGGGACTAGGGCCATTCCGTGGCTCCAGGCTGAGCTTGGCTTCCTTGGGACCCAGGGCCACCTGTTGGTAGTCGCCAGAGGAGATGCTGGAGGGCACGGGGCTGGACGGCGCCGGCGAGACGCGCCAGAGGCCGGCGTGACGGCTGTTAGGGGAGGCAGCGGGCACGGCCAGCGGCCGGGCGGCCGGCGTATCGTTGGGGGCATACGCGGACGGGTGGTGGGGCACGAGGCCCACCAGGACTGCCCGGGAGCCCAGCAGGTCCTGGCACAGCAGTCCCAGCCTGGTGTTGCCCGTGTCCAGGTCAAACACCAGCACGTGGCCCTCCGCAGGGTCCTGGAACTGGCAGGTGGGGGCGCCGACGGCGGGCCTCGGCGTGGCTTCCCGGGGCGGCGGGGCCGGGCGCTGCCCCTGGCCGGTCGCCGGGCAGGTGGAGAGCGGAGCCCCGGGGCAGGTGGGGCTGCGGGCGCGGAGGGGCGGCCCCTGTGGCGGAGCGCTGGCCTCCTGGCGGCTCCTCTGGGGCGTGGGGCCGTCCAGATGGAAGGTGTAGAACCGCGGCCTCTCTGCCGGGGTCTCCGGCTGCTTGGGTAACGCAGGCCTCGCGGCGGGTTCGAGCTCCGGGGCGCAGTCTGAGGACTCGGTGGGAGGGTCCGGGGCGGGGAGCCGCTGGGAGCCGAGGGTGACTTCGTCCTGGCAGAAGGTGACCGCTTTGGAAGACTCCAGGAGGCCCGACCACCGGTGGCCGCTCTCCCCGCGCTGGGCCCGGGGCAAGGCCTGGGCGATGCTCCCCAGCAGGTGGTGGAGGCAGCGGGTGTGGCATGCGGCGGCGGCCAGCGGGAGGGTGGCATGCGGACCCGGAGCGTGGGCCTGAGCCGGACACCAGCACTGGCCCTGCCCTTGGCCTTGGGCTGCAGCCGGAAAAGCTCCTGGGGCTGCGGCTGAGCCGGTCTCCCCTGAAAGGAAACGGGGGGCCTGCTGGCTCTGCTGGGGGCTGCAGGGGCCTCTGCCCCGGCTGACCAGGACTCTAGCCGAAGGCTTGCCCGCCCTCTCACCCGGCACCTGGAGCCAGGAGCGGCGGCGGCCGGGCTGGGCCAGGCCCTCGGCGCTGACCCTGGGCGCGCCCCGGGGCGGGGGCGGGGCCTCCTCCAGGACGAGATGTGCTTGGGCTTCCACGCCGGGGCCGGGGCCCGTGGAGGACGCTGTCCGGGCGCCTTGGGAGGCCCGCTCGGGGCCCCACTGTGCGCTACCCTCAGCGGGGCCCCCGGGGGGCTGGCGGGCGGGCTCGGGCTCAGTGGCGGCCTCGGGGGACAAGGCCAGCCCCTGCCTGAAGCCCATGGGCCCCGAGTTTCTCCACGGCCCCTGAAGCTCGCTGAGGCCACCCCCCAGCTGCTGGCTGCCGGCTGAGGGGTGGCCCTGGGGGTCTGATGGATCGGGGCCCCCCACCTGTGTGGTGACTTCCATAGTCCTGCTCCATGCCTTAGGTGCCCTGCCCCCGCTGTGCTGCCATGACGACCCCACACATCACAGCCCCCAGTGACTGGGCGGGGGTGACAGTGTGTGGGAAACAGGAGCCCCACCCGTCTTGGGAGACAGAAAGGCCCAGGTCACCCAGGAAAGCCTGCCGGGCTTCGGCCGGCTCCTCTCCCCAGCCAGGGTGCCTCTCTGCTCAGGCTGAACCCGGGGGCAGGGGTGCCCGGGGCAGGCGGTTCCCGGGGGGAGGAGGGGCAGGCGGTGCCCGGGGGGACAGGGGAAGCTCCGGGGAGAGAGGCCGGGCGGGAGACACTGAGGAACCCCGCGCCCTGTCTACCTTCCAGGCAAGACGGTCCCCTCCCCTCCTTTCCCAGTGGCCCCGGGCTGCAGGTCCAGGTGTGACCTGAGGCCCCTTGCCCACTCGGTCCTGAGGCGGGAGAGGGTGAGGGCCCAGGCCAGGGCCCCAGCCAGGCTCCCCAGCCTCTCGGCGCCCGCTCCGGAGACGGCCGCTCCTTGGCAATGGCGCTGCTCCAGACGGCTCCCCGCTGCCCGCGCCTCAGAGCCCCCTCCCCAGAGCCACATCCTTGAACCCGGACTGGAATCCCGCGAGGGGAGGTGGGGACCATAGGGCCGTGGGCGGGGCCTCGGCTCGGAATTCTCGGGTCTCAGTGTTCTAGCTCTTGTCACGCGTGTCAGCTTCCCCGCGGGGCCGGAGGGGGCGGAGCCCTGGGCGCAGGGCTGGGTCACAGTGGCCACAGGGCCCGCCAAGCCGCACGGACAGGTGGGGGCTCAGCAAGGACATGGCGGTTACAGGCCCCACACTGCACACAGCGGGTGCACACGGGGAGGGAGGTGCAGGCCGCACAGTGGGCACGGCTGCCTGCGCAGGGCGGACAGCGGACAAAGGCCTGGACGGAGGGCGGGCACCGGGGAAACGCAGCTATTAGGGCAGGGGAGCCCCTCTCCATTCCTCAGATGGGCACACAGAGGGGCTGGCAGGTGGCCCTCCGGGGGCTGCTCACGGCCCAGCCTGCGCCCAGGGGCTCTGTGCCCCCAGCCAGGAGCTCTGGGCCTCCTCTCCGTCCTCCGAGGCGGTCCCCTCGGCCTCAGTCTTTCCGCCCAGGAAACAGGTTTGCGGAGAAGGCGGCGCAGGCCTGGCCGCTGACGCCGGTGCTTTCACAGAAGCTAGAAATAGAGCTGGCCGCGGCCGAGGGGTGCGAAGCGGGGTGACCGGGACCGAGAGCACAAGGCTGCCTGCACCTTCCTGACCGTCCCGGCCGAGGCTGACACGGCCGGGTCTCGGCCCTCGGGGCCCCCACCCCTTCCCTCGATTCCGCCTTCGTTAACGGGTCAAGCCCTGGCCGCTGGGCTCAGTCGGTTGGGTGTTGTCCCGTGCACCTAAAGGCTGCTGGTTCAATTCCCGATCCCCAGGAGGGGGTGTGCAGGAGGCAGCCAATCAGTGATTCTCTCTCATTGATGTTTCTCTCTCCCTCCCTCCCCCTTCCTCTCTGAAACATATGTGTATACACATGAATGAATGGGGACCTCTGGACACTGCTCTCACCACACACGATGGCCCAGGACAGGAGCGGACCTCAAGGGTCTGTGGCACGTGGGCGCACACACACATACACACACACACACACATATATACACACACACACTTGCTGAACACGGTTGACTTCATTCATGTCTGACCCCAAGGAAACTACTTTGGGGGCTTGGTTTTCCCCCACAGCAGAGATGCTGGGGCTGCTGTACCCAGGAGCCCCCTGACCGCCTGTCACTGAGCCCTCCCCCACCTCCCCTCAGGACGGGGTCTCTGTGAATGGGCCCCAGTTTCCTGGGGAGGAGCAGGGCCGGAGGGTGTAGCGTGGAGCCGGAATCACGGCCAGGCCTGGCTCTGGGCCCATTCAGGAAGGATGGTGCTGCACCGGGTGCCCTGCCCATGGCCCCGGGCATGGCCCTGGGGAGAGATGGCAGCAGGCCTTGCTCCTGAGAGCGGCAGCCCGCCCCCCCAACGGTGTCCCCAGTGGCCTGCCTCTCCGCTCAGCTCAGCGAGTGGCCCGCTGGGAGGAGACACTTCCTGTTGGCGCCTTGAAGCCACTGCCCTCCCGAGAACCTGGCAGCCCGGAGTGGGCCAGCTACACACCGAGGCCAGCCACGTCCTTTGTTCGGGAATCCCTGTCCGTCACCTGAGCGGGGGTCGGGGCAGCTGGAGGCACGGGCAGGTCTCTCTGCCAGCCCCCCAACACATCAAGCCAGAGCATCGCCCCTGCCCCTCCCCCACGTGTTTTAAATAGTCTCGCACCAGGAAGAAGGGCATCCAATGCTATTTCTGATCCTGGAAAGTGAGGAGGGCCAACGTGTTGCCACGGCAACCTGCAAGCCCCTCCCCCAGGCCGAGCCCATTCCCCAGGCTGGGCTGCCTGGGGCAGAGGGGCCTGGGGCAGAGGGCCTGGGGCAGAGGGGCCTGGGGCAGAGGGCCTGGGGCAGAGGGGCTGTGGCAGAGGGGTTTGGGGAAGAGGGGCTGTGGCAGAGGGGCCTGGGGCAGGGGGCCTGGGGCAGAGGGGCCTGGGGCAGAGGGGCCTGGGGCAGGGGGCCTGGGGCAGAGGGGCCTGGGGCAGGGGGCCTGGGGCAGAGGGGCCTGGGGCAGAGGGGCGTGGGAAGAGGGGGCCTGGGGCAGAGGACCTGGGGCAGAGGGCCTGGGCAGAGGGGCTGTGGCAGAGGAGGCTGGGCAGAGGGCCTGAGGCAGAGGGGGCTGTGGCAGAGGGGCCTGAGGCAGAGGGGCCTGGGGCAGAGGGGGCTGTGGCAGAGGGGCCTGGGCAGAGGGGCCTGAGGCAGAGGGGGCTGTGGCAGAGGGGCCTGGGCAGAGGGGCCTGGGCAGAGGGGCCTGGGCAGAGGGGCCTGGGCAGAGGGGCCTGGGCAGAGGGCCTGGGCAGAGGGGCCTGGGCAGAGGGGGCCTGGGGCAGAGGACCTGAGGCAGAGGGCCTGGGCAGAGGGGGCCTGGGGCAGAGGGCCTGAGGCAGAGGGCCTGGGCAGAGGGGCCTGGGCAGAGGGGCCTGGGCAGAGGGGCCTGGGCAGAGGGGGCCTGGGCAGAGGGGCCTGGGCAGAGGGGCCTGGGCAGAGGGCCTGGGCAGAGGGGCCTGGGCAGAGGGGCCTGCAGGGCCTGGAGGGCTGGCTCCGAGGGCGAGGGGCAGCATCTCTGAGGGCAGGTGCAGCCTCTCCTGGCCCCTCCTGGCAGGTGTGGGGGGACTGCAGGAGCTGGGGAGAGGGGGCCCCTCAGAGAGCCTCCTTTCCTGTGAGGGGCTGGAGGGCCCGAGGGGGCAGGCAGAGGCCTCAGGCAGCGGCACCCCCTCTCCAGGGCAGACTGTCCTGCTCTGCCTTCCGAGCGCAGCTCTGCAAGCCCCTGGCGCCCGGCGCTCCCCGCCCGCCCCTCCCCGCCCCGTGGACACGCCCCGCGGACACTGGGCCTCTCTGGAGCCCTGGGAGCAGAGCGAGCCTGAAGCGGGAGAACCACAGCCAACAAGAGCACAGCCGGGCCCGGGGGGCTCAGTGGTGAGCGTCCTCCTCTGTGCCAGAGGCCTCAGGGCCCGCCAGGCACATGTCCAGGGTGTGGGGAGCGTGCAGGGGCAGCCAGTGCTTCTACCGCTCCCGCTCTTGCCTTTCTCTCTCAACATTAATAAAACATTAAAAAAACTTCCATAATCAGGATTTTAAAAAACGAGGATCAGGAGAAATCTGAAAGAGAGACAGCCACGGCGTCTGAAAGGGCGACGGCAGGGGCTCAGCCTGCCTCCCAGGGGCACCTTCCTGCGGTGGAGGGGCCCCGCTCGGTGGGGAGCCGCCCGGGGAGCCGCCCGGGGGGGGGGAGCCGCCCGGTGGGGAGCCGCCCCGGTGGGGGCAGTCCGGTCTGTGGAGAGAGGGTGTTCTGAGCAGGAGCGCAGCCAAGGCCCAGGCCGGCCTCCGGGCGACCCAGAGTCCTAAGCTGCTGCCCTCTCTGGGTTCTGAGGGGAAACCGAGACACGAGGAGGCAGGGCGCCTCTGGGTCTCCAGCTCTGCTCCCAGTGCTCTGTGTTTCCCGCCCTGGGCCTGGATCCTGGAGCCCCTGGTGGGGGGGGGGGGGGCACGGGAGGCATCACCTGCTAAAGAGAGTCTCTTCCACCTCCCCCCACCACCACCCGTGTGACCCTCAGGCACACAGCCGGGTGCAGAGCCCGGCCTCGGGGGCCTGCCGGGCGAGAGGGTGCCATCCCCCCAGATCCAGGCTGCGGGGCAGGGCCAGGCTGCGGGGGCAGGACCAGGCTGCGGGGGCAGGGCCAGGCGTGCCGAGGACGTAGCCCCTGAGCCCAGGGCATGGAGGCAGAGGGGTGGCCTCCGGGGAGTGGTGCCAGGAAGCAGGATGTTTCAGCTGCCATCGCTGCCGGGCGGTGCGGTGACCCCTCCGCTGTGCTGCTGCAGCTTATAAATAGCCACCGCAAGCTCGGAGCCCCAGCTGCTCCAGCTTACGTAACTGCGGCCACGCCAGGCCCAGCCGGGGGGGGGGGGGGGCAGCCCGGAGGGCCAGCACGGCCACGCAGGCCGAGGAGCAGGCGGGCGCTCGCTCCCTGGGAGCCGTCCCCGCCAGGAGCCGGCAAGGGGTGGGGGCAGCCAGTGCGGCCAGCAGCACAGGGGGCTTCGTGCCCGCCAAGAAGCCACCTCCAGCCATGCCCCCGAGGGAGGCCAGGAGCCCAGGTGGGGCTGGCTGCTCGGCTGACGCAGGTCCAGCCTGCACAGGTGGGGCTGGGCACATGGCCACCGTGACCGTGGCCACCGCTGCGGGGTCCCTGCCTTCCTGGTGCATCCAGGTCCCCGGTGCCCAGGCCGAGCCCGGCCACAGTGCGCAGTGCCTACCCAGCGGGAAAGCCAACGGAGAGGAGCGGGGCGGTTCTCGGGCCCCTCTGCCTGCCCTGCTGAGCCCGGGCTCAGCACCTCTCAGCTCCCCCTCCGGAGCCGGCCTGGTCCGAACCTGCCCGGCAGAGCGGAGCCTCCTGCCACCTTCCCAGCAGTGGGCAGCCTGCCAGGCCTGCGTCCCTCTGCTCGCTTTCCAAGACCAGGGCTGCTGAGGAGGCTGGGCACGGCAGGCATGGAGGACTGGCTGGGCCTGGGCCCCCCCCCCCACCAGGGAGGGGGGACTTGCCCTGGCTGCCGCCCGCTCCAGGGCAGCCTGGCAGTCCCTGCTGGGCCCGGGCTGAGCATCCTGGGACCAGAGGGTGCTGAGGGCATGGAAGGGCCGGAGAGCGAGATGCAGAGCCATGGGGAGGGCAGGGGCAGAGCGCCCTTCCTTGCAGGGGGGGAGTGATGGAGAGGGCGAACTGGGGTAAACTGGGGCTTCGGGAGCAACAGTCCTGGCTGAGTGTCCCAGGGAATCCGCTGAGGGAGGCTGGGACCCAGGGCCACACCTCTGGGCTGAGCTGGCCAGGCAGGCTCTGCCCCCGCTGGGCACCTGCTGCCTAGCATTGGGCAAAGGACTCCCACCAAGAGAATGCCAGGCCAGAGAGCCAGCCAGCCCGGGCCACTGCCCCGAGGTGTCTCAGCTGCCTCGGCTCTTGAGGCCTGTGCCCATTGGGTTAAACCTCCTACTGTGCGCATTGGGTTAACCCCCACTGTGCCCATTGAATTAAACCTCCTACTGTGCGCATTGGGTTAACCCCCACTGTGCCCATTGGTTAAACCTCCTACTGTGCGCATTGGGTTAACCCCCACTGTGCCCATTGGGTTAAACCTCCTACTGTGTGCATTGGGTTAACCCCCACTGTGCCCATTAGGTTAAACCTCCTACTGTGCACATTGGGTTAACCCCACACTGTGCCCATTGGGTTAACCCCCACTGTGCGCATTGGGTTAACCCCCCACTGTGCCCATTGGGTTAAACCTCCTATACTGTGTGTATTGGGTTAACCCCCACTGTGCGCATTGGGTTAAACCTCCTATACTGTGTGTATTGGGTTAACCCCCACTGTGCGCATTGGGTTAAACCTCCTACTGTGCGTATTGGGTTAACCCCACTGTACTTATGGGTTAAACCTCCTACTGTGCGCATTGGTTAAACCCCCACTGGGAGTGCAGTGGTGAATGCAGAGCTGCCTCCCCCCTGCAGCTCATGGGCCCCTGGCCTTGGCACCCCTGCACCTGAGCAGCAGAGGGAAGGCAGGGGAGGGTGGGGGTAACCCAAAGACTTGTGTGCATGCACATGGGCCTAGCCAGTGGCCATGGACAACAGGGGGCCCCCAGGAGTGAGGGTAGAGCACTGGGCAGCACCAGTCCCGAGGAGCGCCCCTCTGCCCAGAGCTTCCCTCCCCTCTCACTGAGGGTTCCACTGACCTTGGAGAGTGTGGGAGAGGGAGACGGAGAAACATGACGTAGGAGAGACATGGCCCGGGCCAGGGAGGAGCCTGCAACCGAGGTGCGTGCCCTTGACCGAAATCGAACCCAGGAGTCCTCGGTCATCAGGCCAACCAGTGGTCGGCAAACTCATGAGTCCATGGAGCCAAAAACCAACAGCACAACGATGGACATTTCTGTGGAGAGCCACATTGTTTAAACGTAAACTTCTATCGCCACTTCTTCAACACAGACTCGTCCAGGCCGTGGTGTTTTGTGGAAGAGCCACACTCCAGGGACCAAAGAGCCGCAGGTGGCTCGCGAGCAGCAGTTTGCTGACCACGGCTCTATCCACTTGCCCCAAACGCAGGGTTCCATGTGAGAAGGGCAGAGCTGGGAGGGAGCACTCCCTGTAGGTGAACTGGGGCCCCCGCCCTGGCAGGGGAGAGACGGGGGTCGCGAGCAGGAGCGGGGACCGCCGGGATGTAGGTGCTGAGCCACCAGCCCGGCCCCCGCTCTGGGGGCTGCAGGAGGGCAGCTGCGGGGACGCTGTCTCCTGGCGGAGCCGGCCATTGTCCGGCGGCCTTGACGGGTATAAATAGCCACGGCAGCGGAGCCGGTGCCCGAACCGCGTGGCACTGCGGCTTGCTGCTGGCTCCTCTCCCCGGGCTGCAGGACGAGGCCGGCCGGGCGGGAGGAGGGACAGTGTCCGTGGCTGACGGTGCCCGGGCGGGGGCTGGGCGGCGCAGGAGGGCTGCGGGGGGAGCGGGAGCCCTGGAGAGGGGCTGAGCCAGGGCCGGCCGCCATCCTGGCTGCTGCAGTCCTGGGGCTCCTCAGCGCTCTGTCCACCGAGAGCCCCCAGGGCCCTGCACCCTGGGTCTGAGTCCTGCTACCTCCTATTCTCTGGGGCCCCTCAGGGACCCGGCTCCTTCCTGGCCTCGGGCTCTCTCCCAGCTCTGCTTCTGCACAGCTTCCCCTTGGCAGGGCCCGCACCCTCTCCCAATCCAGCACTGCTGCCTGCCAACTGCTCGCCTGCCTGCCTTCCTGATTATCCCTAACCGCTTCTGCCTGCCAGCCTGATCACCCCCTCACCAGTCCCCTGCCAGCCTGACTGACATCTAACTGTTCCCCTGTCAGCCTGTTTGCCCCCAACTGCCCTCCTCTGCCGGCCTGGTCACCCCTAACTGCGGTGCCCTGCAGGCTTGAGCACCCCCAACTGCCCTCCCTTGCAGGACTGGTCCCTCCCAACTGCCCTCCCCTAGTGGTTATCTTGTGGTGGCCATCTTATATCCACATGGGGGCAGGATCTTTGACCACATGGGGGCGGCCATCTTGTGGGTTGGAGTGATGGTCAATCTGCATATTACTCTTTTATTGGAAAGGATATTTTTATTGGTTTCAGAGAGAAAGGGAGAGATAGAAACAGCAACGAGAGAGAATCATTGATCGGCTGCCTCCTACACACTCCACACCGGGGATTGAGCCCACAACCCTGGCATGCACCCTTGTCCAGAATCAAAGCTGGGACCCTTCAGTCTGCAGGCTGACACTCTATCCACTGAGCGACACCAGCCAGGGCTGTATTCACCTTTCCACCAAATGCTGTCTTCCATTCCACCAATGTCACCTGCTTTTAAGGTATATATATATATATATATATATTAAAAGATTTGAGATATATATATATATATATATATATATATATATATATATATATCTTAAATGATTTGAGAGAGAGAGAGAGAGAGGGAGGGAGAGAGAAATATCAATGGGAAAGAGAAACATTAATCAGCTGCCTCCTGCATGCCTACTGGGGATTGAGCCCGCAAACCCAGGCATGTGTCCCGACCAGGAATTGAACCAGCAACTTCTTGGTGCACGGGATGATGTCCAACCACCTGAGCCACACTGTCTTCCTCTTTCAGAGCGTCTGCCAGAATGTCTGCTACAGTCACTCTGACGGCTCCTGGGCCAGTGTCACCGCTGAGGCCCCTGCGCCCGAGGCCAGGCACCAGCAGCAGCTCCCCACGTGCCACGGAGCCCCTCGTGCTCCCCCGGGGGGAGGGGTCCGTGTGCCTTGCCCCCTGCCGCAGCCTGAAGGTTAAAGGTCAGGAACAGAGCAGCTGGGGACCCCTTGGCGCCGCATGGGGCTAACTCCCTGGAGGGTGATGCAGGTCCAGCCCTCGGGGCCTGCCTGGGCCGGGGTCACGTGGGCCGCGGTGGCTCTGAGAGGGGCCGCGGCCGGCTGGGGCTCCGGTGCCCGCATGGGGACACGGGCAGTTCTGGGGGCGCACTGGGCTCTTTGGAGGCAGCGGCGAGGCCCAGGTTCACGTAGGCCGCGGACAGCTGCACGTAATGGTCTCCCTGCAGGGCGGCCGCCACCTGCTCCACCTCCCCCGCCAGCGCCCTGAAGGTGGGGCGGGCGGCGGGGTCCGCTGCCCAGCAGCGCTGCATCACGGCGTACCTGCGGGCGGGGGAGGGCGTCAGGGGCAGGGCAGCCGCCACCCAGAGACTCGGGGCTGCCCACTGTCCCCCTGGCAGGCACATGGGGATGAGGGTGGCGACGATGCCCAACGCTGAGCTCAGTCCATCAAGGACACCCTTCTCGTCTTGTGTCGTGCCCTCGCCCTGGGCTGTATGAGCTGGGTCCAGCTCCTTAGCCTCCCTGTGCCTCTGGGTCCTCCTCTGAGCCCAGAGCTGCCGGGGCGCAAGGAGACAGGATGCCGGGAGGGGCCCGGCTCCAGGCTCAGGGAGGAAGCCAGGCCGGGGACATGGGGACTAGACGCCCAGAGACAGGGACCGGCGGGCGGAGCAGCAGACCCTCCGGTGGCCAGAGAAACTGGCCCTTTATCTTGGGCATGTCACACAACACCCTCAGTCATCCTCAGACTCTCTGAGGGCGGTTCTGTCACCATCCCAATTCACAGATGAGAAGACTGAGGCCCAGGAGGAGGAGGGACTTGCTCTGGGATGGGGCCGCGCTGTCCAGGCCCCTTTCCTTCTCCCACGACTGCCGACCGCTCAGGCAGAGGCCCCGTCAGAGAAGCACGGGGCCCCCCCGCCCCCCGGCACCCCCTCCTCAGGGACAGCGGTGCCCGGTGACGGGTTAATGTCTGGTGGAGACCTGGCACCTCGATCTTCATTTTGTAAGACTCGGAAGGCCATCAGCTGCGGGCGTCCCCGGTGGGCTGCGGCCTCGGGGGACGGCGTCGATGCCCACCTCCATGGCCGCCCAGCCCTGCCCCCCCCTCCCCCCGTACGCCCGTACCTGAGTCTCCGTCTCGGGTCTGACTCAGGGCCTCCTCCGACCGGACGCACAGGGAGGGGTCGTGGCAGGCGCCTCGGCGGGCGGGCCTGCCAAAGCCCATCCTCCGCGCAGCCGGGACAGGACTGCGGCGGTGCTGCCAGCCCTCGCCACGAAGGCCGGGGCACAGCGAGCACCCGTGGCTCACGGAGGTGAACCTCAGCACCAAGCCCCGCCCACAGGCCACAGGCCACAGGCCACAGGCCCACGGGCCACAGGCCACAGGCCACAGGCCACAGGCCCACGGGCCACAGGCCACAGGCCACAGGCCCACGGGCCACAGGCCCACGGGCCACAGGCCACAGGCCCACAGACCACAGGCCACAGGCCCACAGGCCACAGGCCCACAGACCACAGGCCACAGGCCCACAGGCCACAGGCCACAGGCCCACAGGCCACAGGCCCACAGACCACAGGCCACAGGCCCACAGGCCACAGGCCACAGGCCACAGGCCCACAGGCCACAGGCCACAGGCCCACAGGCCACAGGCCACAGGCCCACAGGCCACAGGCCACAGGCCCACAGGCCACAGGCCACAGGCCACAGGCCCACAGGCCCACAGGCCACAGGCCCACGGGCCACAGGCCACAGGCCACAGACCCACAGGCCACAGGCCCACAGGCCACAGGCCCACAGACCACAGGCCACAGACCCACAGGCCACGGGCCACAGGCCACAGGCCCACAGGCCACAGGCCACAGGCCCACGGGCCACAGACCCACAGGCCACAGACCCACAGGCCCACGGGCCACAGACCCACAGGCCCACAGGCCACCAGGTCCACAGGCCACAGGCCACAGGCCCACAGGCCACCAGGTCCACAGGCCACGGGCCCACAGGTCCACAGCCCACAGGTCTGGGACAGCACGGCTGCGCCATGCCTCCTCCGAGAACGAGAAGGAGAACGGGGACCTGACACTCGATCCCGGGAAGGAAGCAGGGGAGGGAGACAGGAGGGCGGTGTGGGAGCCAATGGAACCTTCCTGGGAGAAGGAGCGGGAGATGGAAAACAGCCCCTTGGCAGGGCTGCGGGGAGAGGATGCTGGGAAACCAAATCACTGGCCGCAACCCAGACACCAAGATGGGAATGCTGTTGCCATGGCAACTGTGATGTTCTCCCAGCACCCAGCCCCGAATGGGGGCAGAGCGGTCCGCAGACGAGGAAACTAAGGCTCAGAGGGCCCTTTCCCGTCACCGGAGGGGAGCCCGAGGGTGAGGCCAGAACGCAGGCTCCCGCCCCCTCCGGGCCTCCAGGCCGGCTCCCGCCCCCCTCCCCCCATTCCCTCATTCCCCCCACCACCTCCTCATACTCACAGGGCATCGGGGCAGTACTCAGGCTGCGGCAGGCGACGGCCCTGGGCCAGGAAGTGGGTGAGGTCAAAAGGGTCGATGTGGGGGTACGGCGGGGCACCCCGTGTCAGCAGCTCCCATAGCAGCACGCCAAATGACCACTGGGGGGGGTGGGGGGAGTGAGGTGATTCAACTCTCAACCCAGCAGGACCCCAGGTCTCCTACCTCCCAGAGCCCTCTCCCTGGAAACGGGGGCTCCACCCCCCAAAACAGAGCCGGTTCCTCAGGACCCCAGGAGCATCTTCGCCTGTGGGGGGAGCTGGGGGGGCCGGTGAGTCCACAGCCTCCCCCGGCTCGGACACCATCGGAGCCGGAGGAGGGGCAGGCCGGTGTCTCCCCAGGACACGGCGGCCCGGGGGCCAGGGCCGGGCCTCACCACGTCTGACTTGCTGGTGAAGCGGTAGGTCTGCAGGCTCTCCAGCGCCATCCACTTGACGGGCAGGCGCGCGTGGCGGTGCTGCTGCACGCTGTAGTACTCCTTGTCCAGCACGCCGCGGGCCAGGCCGAAGTCCGCCACCTTCACGGTGAAGGACTCATCCAGCCTGGGGAGGGCGTGGCACTCAGGTCGGCCGCCGGGCCCCGCGCCCCGGGCCCCGTCCTCACGGGGCTTCAGGGCCAGAGGCCCCTCTGAGCCTGAACCGGGAGGACGGGACAGCGGAAGCCACAGCGGGCGGACCGGCCGGGGCGCACAGCAGGGCTGGAACCTTCCGGCACCCGCCCCTCGCCCACCCCCACGCCTGCTCACATGCAGTTGCGGGCGGCCAGGTCCCGGTGCACGAACTTCTGCTCGGCCAGGTACTCCATGCCGCGGGCCACCTGCAGGCCGAAGCTGACCAGGTCCTTCACCGTGGGGTTCTGGGGGCACAGGCGGGTCAGGAGGCGGGCAGGGCGCTCCCTCCCGCGCTGCCCGCTCCCGCGCCGGGCGCTGACCCTCTGGGGCGAGCGGATGAACCGGAGCAGGTCGCCGTGGCGCATGTAGGGCAGCAGCACGCGGGGCAGCCCCTCGGGCGGCAGCACGATGCCCACCAGCGCCAGCACGTGCGGGTGGCGCAGGCCGCGCATCAGCAGCCCCTCTCGCAGGAACGCCTCCACCTCCTGCACGTCCGTGATGCCTGCGGGGCGGCCGGTCAGGGGCGGGCGGGGCGGAAGGGTCTCCCCTCAGGGCCGCCCCGCCTCCGCCCCACTTACGGCTCAATGACTTGATGGCACAGTGGGTGCGGTTCTGGGCCTCGTCGATGTACTCTCCGTGGTAGACAACCCCGAAGTGGCCTGGCGAGGGGAGGTGGTGAGCGGGCCCCAGCACCCAGCGCCCACACCACAGCCTCTCCCGGCAGCCGGGCCCCAGGGCGCCGACTGGCATGAAACACAAGCAGGCCTTCACCGGTGTGGCTCAGTGGATAGAGCATCAGCCTGCGGACTGGAGGGTCCCAGGTTCGATTCCGGTCAGGGGCGAAATTTTGGTTGCAGGCACATCCCCAGTGGAGAGGTGTGCAGGAGGCAGCTGATCGATGTTTCTCTCTCTGTCCCTCTCCCTCCCTCTTTGTAAAAAAATCATTAAATATTAAAAAAAAAAAAAAAAAAAAAAAAAAGCAGCGGCAGCTGCAGCTGCCCGGCCCACAGGATCCGCACCGGAACCCACTGACAAGCCGGTTCCCACACACAGAGGAGCAGCCGGAGGCTCAGGGGCTCCTCGGTGTGCCCAGGGTCACACAGGAAGGTGAGGAGGTGCCAGCCCTGCCAGCTGTCCCAGCCCGTGTCCCGTCACAGCCCCCGGCCTGGCTCCGCACCTTTGCCGATGACCCGGTCACTGTGGGTGACCACGCGCTCGTGGGGGATCAGCACGTCCTTGACCTCGGCCAGGAGCAGTGGGTCCAGGTCCCCGAGCTGGATGGACTTGGTCCGAAGCAGCGGGACACGGGACCCGTCCCCGCTGTCCGAGAAGGGCACTGCATGGCCCCCACAGGTGGCCTCCTGACCGTCCCCGGTGGGGGTTGCTGCAGAGGAGGGGGAGGGAGAGTGAGGGGCTGCAGGGGCTGCAGGGCGGGGCAGGTGGGGGAGGGCTGGCTCACCAGGGCCGTGTCTGTAGTCGGAGCCCGCTCGGAGGTGAGCCAGAGGCAGGCCTCTGGTGGTCGGGTCCGCAGAAGCCAGGCCGTCCAGGTTCGCAGAGAAGGCTGCGGAAGAAGGGCCTGGTAGGCAGCCTCGCCGGCCCCTGGAGGCCGACCGCTGCCCAGGAGGCGTGGGCAGCCCTCGCCTGGGGGCCAGGGGCCAGGGACGGGGGATGCTCTGAGTCGGCCGAGGGGGCGCTCACCCAGCTGCTTCCGCCTCCGGTAGTTGAAGGCCAGCGCCGTGGCCAGCAGAGCCACGAGCAGCACCAGGGCCAGCAGGACACCCAGGAGCGTCCTCTGCAGGGGGCCCCCCGGGCCTGGCCGCACCACTCTGCCCAGGACGTGGCAGTCGCCGTCCACGCAGACCTGGGGGAGGCAGCAGCTCAGGCCCAGCCGCAGGCCCAGCCGCGGCCGCCGGGAAGGCCGGCGAGCTGCCTACCTGCAGGAGGGCGCCGTCCTCGCCCAGCGGCAGCGCCGGGGGCAGGGGGCAGATGACCACGTCGCCCCGGAGCTCGTGCTGGCAGCTCTCCCCGCCCAGGGTGACGTTCACGTCCACACAGTCGGCCACAGCTCCGAGGCCGATGTACTGAGGAGACAGCGTGAGGCCCGGCGGTGCCGCCCCCGGGGGGGGGGCAGGCCCCGCCCTCCGCCAGGCCCACCTCCGGCCCCACACTCACCTCGAACTTAACGGCACGCTCCTCCGGCTTCAGGGGGGCCAGGTCGGTGCTGGGGGGGTGGGGCGGGGGCAGGAAGCGAAAGCCAGGCAGCGTGAAGCCAGCCGCGCCGTCCGCCCGGGCACTCAGGTTCCCCGCCACCCACCCCTGGGGGCCTCGGACCACGTACTGGGGCAGGCGGCACCTCTGCGTCTCCAGGAGCTGCCCCGCGCACTGCAGGCCCAGGCGAGAGGGTTAGGCAGGCCCGCCCCGCCCCCCCCGGGGCCACCCGGTCTCGGCAGCCCAATGGGGGGTGGGGGAGAGGGGGCTGGGCTCCGGGGACCGGCTGGCCTTCCTCCCTCCTGGCCAGTGCCCGCCTGGCAGCTGCCCGCCCTGCTCACCGGGCGCTCCACAGCCTTCAGCCCGTCGTGAAAGGACAGCGCCAGGCGCCACACCGAGGTCAGGTGCCGGCCGCGGATGGTGACGTGGGAGCCGCTGCGGGGAGAGAGGGGGAGAGCAGGCTCTGGGCTGGGGGTGCTGAGGGGACTCCCCATCCCTGGGAGGCCGGGGGGAAGGGGGGGCGCTCACCTGTAGCCGCAGTTGGGGCTGATGCCCAGCACGACAGGGTCCTCCCGGTAGTCAAAGGCCCAGGAGCCGGGCACCGGGGCGCCCCCCACCTGCAGGCGAACGGGGACGCTGGCCGGGGCGGCGCCGGGCGGCGTGGTGCACACCAGCTGCCCCTCGCTGACCCTGCAGGAGGGGCTGCGTCAGGGCCACCCCCAGGGGTGCAGGCCCACCTCCTCCGGGGCCTGCCTCCCAGCCCCCGCTGGTCATCCTCCCTGCCCACCCCAATCCACGGTCTGTCCAAAGACGGGGCGGTCCCAGGAAGACCCCAGGAAGACAGGGAGGGCAGGCTCCTCACAGCCCTGGCGGGAGGGAGGGCACAGGTGATGGTCTCTCTGCCGTCCCCAAACTACCCGCCCCCCGGGCCTGACCAAGCGGCCAAGCAGCTCTCCCTCCGCCCGGACAGGGACCCGAGGCCCCCGGCCGCCTGCTCTCACCCGTCCAGCAGGCACTGGCTGCCATTGACCAGCACGGCCCGGCTGGTGCCTACGTCCAGGCCGTGGCCCTTAAGGGTGAGGCGGGTGCCCCCGGCCTGCGGGCCAAAGAGGGGGTGAACCTCCTTCAGCACCGGCTCCTACGAGGGGGACCAGGGGGGACGGGGCGGCTTAGCTCGGGGGCGGAGACCCTCCCCTCCAAGCCCTTCCCCGCCCAGCGGCCACGGGCACAGCCAGGGCCGCGGCCTCACCGTGAAAGAGAAGCCCGGCAGCTCGGAGGCGCCGTCCACCTGGAAGTGCTCGCCCCGGGGCATGTTGGTCACGGCGAGGCTCACGCTGGCAGGCCCCGCTGCCTGCGTGCCCGAGGGCTGCAGCTCACACGCAAACTCCTCTATGAAGCCGTTCCAGGACACGGGGCTGGAGCTGGGACCACGGTCAGCAGAGGTCACAGGCCCGGCTGCATGCCCACCGCCGCTCGGGGCAGGCAGGACCTGGCGGGGCGGGAGCCAGCCTTGCCGGCTCCCGGGCACACGCAGGCTCCAGGAGGGACAGAGCAGCCAGGGCCCCGCAGTTCTCTCCCCCCGCCCCCCGAAAAGGCTCAGGGGAGGGGCCGCTGGGTTGCCGCCTGAGGAGAGGACAGCGGGGACCGTGGTACCTGGGGTCTGAGCTGTCCTTGGGCAGCAGGCGGCAGGGACTCTGGCCCACAGTGACCTGGTGGGTGCCCTCGGGCACCACGCCGTCAGGGTGCAGGTAGAAGTTGGAGCCGCACAGGGTCAGCCTGGTGCTGCCCCGCAGGGGTCCGCTGTGAGGATGGAACTGGAGAGGGAGCAGAGAGCCTGTGTGGGCCAGGCCCCAGCCCTGCTGCTTCCCCCCACTTCCCTGCGCACCCCTGGCCCGCCCCCTCCCCTCATTCTCCGTCATTGCCAGGCCTCGGCCCTTTTCTGCCTCCAAATCCACATGCCACCTTCTCCGCCCAGAATGCCTTCCTGCGGACATCCGGGCCGAGGAGGTCCCGCCCAAGACCGGCCGCTCCCGCCCCAGCCCAGCTCGCCTCACCCTGGCTTGCGCCCGGCCGGGCAGGCCGTACCTCGATAAGCTCAGGGGGGCAGCGGTCCTGCTGCCAGGAGCCCGGACACTCCTCCTGCCGGCCGCACGTGCTCCCACACCAGCCGCAGCCCATGAAGCGCTGTGCCTGCAGGCAGCGCCCGCAGGTGAGGAAGTGGCGGCAGCCGGGGCCGCCGATGGGCACCTGGAAGACCTTGGGGTGGCAGAAAGGTGGCTGGGGTGACGGGAAGAGGTGGGGAGGCCTGGGCCCCAGAGAGCCCCTGGTCCCCTTGGGACAGCGCGGTGAGACCTGGGCGTCAGTGCCCCTCTCACCCCGGGCCCTGCCCCTCCCCTCCCCTCCCCTGCCCCTGCCCGCCGTACCTTGTCCCCAGAGGCAAAGAGCAGGTGGTTCCCAAGGCGACGGACATCCCGGTGCACGGGCTGCTGACTGCGGCTCAGTGAGAAGTTGGAGACGTACAGCAGGTAGCCGAGGGACCTGGCCAGCTCCACCTGCGGGGCAGCGGTGAGCGGGTGGGGGGAGGCCGGGACAGCGGTGAGCGGGTGGGGGGAGGCCGGGACAGCGGTGAGCGGGTGGGGGGAGGCCGGGGCACAGGCGGTGGGGACGGGCCTACCTGCAGGATGCGCCCGTCTCTCGTGCCCATGTGGGCCACCGTGACATTGTCCAGGCTCGTCACGTGCAGCGCTGTGATCTGCGTCGGCCCCAAGAGCCCGTTGAACAGGTCCACGCGGGACAGGCTGCCGCTGGCCAGCAGGGGGAAGCGGTAGCAGCTGCCGTTGGAGCTGGGCACCGTGGGGTCCGGCTGGAGGACAGAGGAGGCGTCAGGGCTCGTCCCCCACAGAGCCTGTCCAGGGCCACAGCGGCCCGAACTCCCGCCCTCGCCTGGGCTGCCCGGAGAAGACCAGGCCTGCCACTTACCTGCCCTCCCCTCCCTCAGAGGTAGCCAGGCCAGCTCCCCCCAGGCCTGGCCCTACCCCGCCATGTCCATCCTGACCATGAGTACTGAGGCTTGCAGACCCAACCCCGTCCTCTCCTCGGACCACTCCCCACCCTTCCAGACAGGGAAACAGGAGGGACTTGAGGTGGGAAGCCTGAGCTCTTGACCAGAGTCCTCTCCTGCCCCCTGCTGGTTCGGCCTTGCACTTCAGCAAGCCCTGCCCTTCAGGGGTTTCTCCGCCAGCTGGGGGCGCTGGCTCCCGGGTAACTTGTGGGCACAGGTGGCCACATGGTTCTTCTCTGGAGCCTGCAGAGGGCTCCCCGCACCCTCAGCACTCCCCGCCTCTCCTTCAGACAAGCCAGGGTCAGGAGGCCTGGGTGCGAGCTGGGCCCCAGGGGCCGCAGGGACTAACATCTCCCTGCTCTTACCCGAGGGTGTTTGGGGCTGCGCTCAGGTCGGGTCACAGAGGACAGAGGCTCCTGGGGAACCAGGAAGCCAGGGCGTGAACGCAGGGAGTTTGCTGAGTGCAAAGTGCAGGCAGGGCACCGAGGTGGCTGGGACCCAGCTAGCTTTGGGGGCACTCAAGGCAGGAGCCCCTGAAGCCCCCGTCAGAACAAAGATGTGGGACCCAGTCAGCAGGCCTCAGGGCTGACGTGGGGCAAGAGCAGGTGCAGAGCTGGCCCGGCAGCCCCGCGCAGCTGGGTCTGTGGCCGGGGTGCGGACGGGACTGCCCTCACTGAGGAAGGAAGCGGAGGCCCATTCCCCCCCCGGAAGTCAGTTAGCTGTTTCCAGCATGACTCAGGGCAGGTGGGGCTGGGGTGGGAAGAGGCCCCGCTCCAGCCAGGCCGCACCCCTGCCTGCTTCTGGGTTCCCGCGCCTCAGCTCTGGCCCCAGGCTGGTCTAGTGGCCTGTGGCTCCTGGGCCCGGGAGGGCAGCTAGCCGGGTGAGCAGGGGTGGGGGTGCCCTGGAGGGTGCCTGCCCAGTCACGGACAAACATGGCACAAGCTGGTTCATACACCTCCCGGGGCCGGCCAGCCTGTGGGCAGGGCTGTAGATTAGGCTTCCTAGAGCCGGGCACTGCCAGGCCTGGCTGGGTGTCTTCTGGCCCCTGGCTAGCCCAGCGGGGAAAGGAGGGCCAGCAGGGCGGCCAGGCCCAGACCGGGGAGCCCCAGCCCTGGGGCTTCCTCAGCCTCGATGAGCTCAGCTGAGGGCGGGGGGCCGAAGACCCCACCTCTCGGGCAGCTTCTCCCACCTCCGGGCCATAGCAGGAGCTGGACAGGGGTCAGCGGGGATGTCGCCGCAGGGCCAGGGCACCGGGCAGCCAACGGCCCCTGTGGGTCACCTGCTGAGGACTCTCTCCAGCTCCGTTCACCCCGTGTCCCTGGTCTGATCTAGAACCGAGGGTGGGCTGTTTCCATGGCTCCCAGGAATCCTCTGGGCTCTGAGCTCAGCATCTGAAGGAGTGTCCTGCTTGTCTCTCTCCAGCTCCCGGCACCGAGGCGGGGGAGGGTCTGCTGGACGGAGCCCAGAACCCAGCCTGGGCCAGGGGACCTCCTGCCTGGGCTGAGAAGGGGCACTCGCTCCAGCAGGGCCGCAACTAGAGTGGGAAAGAGTCTGAGAATCCTGCGTGACCCAGTTCCCCTGCCCCGCCTGTCTGTGCTCATCCCCAGATGTTTATAATTGCACAAGAGAGGGCGAGCCTCCTGGAAGCTACTAGAGCCAAGCCATCTCCCCCATCCCATCCCTCCCCCCACTCCTCCCCCCCATCCCGGCCTGCGGGGCCTCCCGCATCACCCCACCCACGGAGAACAATCAATCCGGATGAGCTGCCCAGCAGACTCCCTGATAAACCCCCCAACTTCCCAGCCGGGGAGTTCCAAGGCCCAGGAGCTGGGGGAGCGCCGAGCGGCTCCTGCCCCTCCCTCCTCCCTCCTCAGGAAGCGAACAAACAAGTGCTCCCAGAGGGGAAGGGAAACTAGGGGGAGCGGGAGCCCCTGGAGGGGAAGGGAAACTAGGAGGGCAGGAGCCCCTGGAGGGGAAGGGAAACTAGGGGGGGCGGGAGCCCCTGCAGGCGGCGGGCAGAGGGGCGGGGGCCGTCCCTCTGCCCCAGTATGGCAGTGAGCCTGGCGGAGAGACGCTAGGATGCAATCAGCTCTCACAGACAGGGACACTGCCTGAGACACCGGGGGCACCGGGGCGAGAGGGCAGAGCCGAGCGGGGTGGAACCGAGGCCGCCTGCACGGAGGCACCCGGTGCGCCCCGGCGTGGCGGCCTCTCGCCGCCGGCACGGAGGGGCGGGGGGGAAGCAGCCCGGATTCACCCGCTCCCCCGGAAGGGCCCTCTGCTCACCGGGTTGGGGCACAGGATGGGCGGCTGGAAGAAGTCCAGGCCGCGCCGCAGGCCCTGGGGGGCGCGCGCCCCGCAGCAGCGCTCCACGCCCCGCTCGATGAGCGCGTCCAGCAGCCGGAGCGGGAAGGCGCACACCACCGAGCCGGGCCCCGCGCGCCCGCCGCCGCCGGCCCCGAAGGCGCCGAACAGCACGGCCTGGCCCTCGGCGACGTTCAGCTCGCGGGCCAGGCGGCCGCCCACGGGCGCCGTGTGCGCGGCGCGCAGCACCGGGTAGGGCTGCCCGCCCGCGGCCGCCCCGCGGCGCCGGCGCTTGGGCTCGAAGCGGCAGTCCAGCACCAGCTCGCGGTAGGTGCCCACGTCCGTCTGCAGGACGCTGAGCCGGGCCAGGCGCGTGTGCAGGGCGCCGGGCGCGGCGGACAGGCTGGCCGGCTGCACCGCCAGGAAGTACACGAAGTCGCCGGCGCGGAAGCTGTGCACGTAGTGGATGCGGTAGGAGGCCAGGTGCGCGGGCAGCACCGACAGGGACTCGAAGCCGGGCGCGAAGCCCGAGGCGTCGGCCCGGAAGCGGCGGATGGACACGGAGCGGGGGCTGAAGCTCGCGGCCACCTGCGGGTCCAGCGAGGACGCGGCATAGAGGAAGGAGGCGCGGCCCTGCTCCACCACGGTGGCCACGGTGCCCAGCGGGCTGGCCACGCAGTCCGGGCAGGCCTCGGGCCGGTTGCGGGCGGCGGCGAAGAGGCAGGCGGGCGGCGCCAGGCGCGGGGCCGGCTCCCCGGGCTCCCCGGGCTCCAGCTCGAGCTGGAAGCAGCGGCCGTGCAGGCTGGAGCCGCAGCTGATGAGCGCGGGCAGCGCGGGGTCCAGCACCAGCAGCTTGGCGTCCGTGTCCTCCGGGGGGCCGTGCGGGCCGGGGCCGCAGGCCGCGCAGGTCTGGCAGCCGGGGTGGCCGGCGGGGCCGGTGGCCAGGCTCGCCAGCGGCCGCAGGTCCGGGCCCAGCATGTGCAGGCGGTTGCGCGCGGCCACGAACACGGCGCTGCCGCCCTCGCCGCCCTCGTAGGCGGCCAGCGCCTGCACCGGGCCGCCGGCCGCGAAGCGGGGCACCGCGTACTCCACGTCGAAGTCGCGGGAGGCGGCGTAGGGGATGAGCGGGCAGCGCCAGGGGCCCCGGGCCGCGGGCACCGCGGGCACCGGCGGTGGCGGCAGCAGCAGCAGCAGCAGCAAGGCGGAGGGCGGCGGGCGGAGCTCCATCGGGGCCGCCGGGGTCCGGCGGGGGTTCCCGGGGCCCGGCGGGCGCAGGCTGGTGGCTGGGACCGGCGTCCGGCGCAGGTCCGGGAGCCGCGGGCACCAGCTCCCCGCGCCGCGCTCCGGCGACACTTCCCCGCGGCCGGGACTCAGGCACCTGGCGCCGCCGACACGCCCTCCGCCGGCGGGAGGCCCTCACCTGCCGCCGCCGCTCCCCGCCCGCGGGACCTCGGGGCGGGACGGGGCGGGGTCTGGGGAGCGGGCGGCCCCGCCCCGCCTTCGCCGGCCCGGGACGTCCGGCTCCGGCTCCGGGCGCCCTCCCCAGCCGCCTGGGTGTGCTGGGGTGGCCGGGGCTGGGCGCAGGGAGGGCCGGGGCTGGGCGCAGGGGTGGCCGGGGGCTGGGCGCAGGGAGGGCCGGGGCCGGGCGCAGGGGTGGCCGGGGGCAGAGGCCCAGGCCCGGGCCGCAGTGAGGAGGGGCGGTGAGGTTTCCGGAGTCCCTGACTCATTTCTTCTCTTGGTGCCATTGTCCCAGCAGCACCCCTCTCCCCCCCAGGAGAGAGGTGAGGGCCCCCGGAGAGACCCATCCTCTGTGGGCAGGGCCCATCCCATGGCTTGCCCTGGGCTATCAGCCATAGGATGGGGTCAGAGGCGGGTGGGCTGCCCGCTGCCGGCCTGTGGACGGAGGGAGAGGGAGGGAGGGGTTGCACGCTGAGGCCAGGCCGGCCGACTGGACCGCAGAGAGAGGAGGGGCTGATGTGGAGGCCCAAGCCTGTCCTGGTCCCTTATGGGTGCCTCAGGGTGCGGACGCTGTCAGGTGGAGCAGGAAGCAATGCCCTTCCCCTGGCTCGGCTCCAGCGGCTTCTGCTCTGGGGAAGGCTCTCCCTCAAAAAGGAGGGTGCAGCCCAGCCGGTGTGCTCGGTGGTTGAGCACCGACCTGAGGAACCAGGAGGTCACGGTTCAATTCCTGGTCTGGGCACCTGCCCGGGTTGTAGGTTGAACCCCCAGCAGGGGGCATGCAAGAGGCGCTAATCAATATCCTCTCTCATCATTGGTGTTTCTATCCCTCCCTCCCTCTCTGAAATAAATGAAATTTTATTTATATACATTTTATTTACATATTAATTTTATTTATATAATGAGGATGTAGTCTCACTAGGTGGTAGCCCAGAGCTCTCCTCCCAGACTGGATGGAAGGGGGCGTGGGGGAGGGGAGAGGAGGCAACCTAGGTCCGCTCCTGCCCTCTCTCACCGGACCTCGGCCCTCCCCCCATCTCCCCTCACCGGCCTGACAAGCCTAGGGACAGACACCCTGCAGGGTGGGCCCTACAAGCTCAGAGCCTGAAATAACCACAGGAGGGTCTGAACATGAATTCCCAACTAGAGCATGTCATGGTGAATCACAGCCCAGCCTTCCCGGAGCTGTCTTCCCGGGAGTGGTCCTGTCTGCTGTCTCTGAGCCTCTGAGACCCTCAGGCCACCCCCACAGCACACAGCACAGAGCACCAGACGCCCTCACTGTTCGCTGGTCCCCAGGCACCAGCTCTGTGTGCTGTACATGTTAATTATTAACTGCCCACAGGGAAGGAGTTTGGCCCCGGGGTGTGGGGGGGGCAGGGGGGCGGGGCGCTCGCTCAGTTGGTTAGAACCTGTTTTGGGTTCAATTCTGGATCAAGGCACATACTTAGGTGTGGGTTTGGTCAACAACTGATTGATGTTTCTCTCTTTCCCTTTCTCTCTCTCTAAAAAAAAAAATTAGTAAGAACATATTCGTGGGTGAGGATGCTAAAAAGAAAAAAAAGGTTTGTGTCTCTGCTTTCTCCCTCCCCCTTAGCCTGGCACCAATGGACTTCCTGTCACCTTCCCTCCAGCTTTCACTGGTCCTGTGGGAAAGGGGGCCAGTGCTGACCCTGACCGCTCAGGGGAGGCCTGCGTGGCGGTCTTACAAACCCAGAGACCGAAAGGAACCACGAAGGGTGCTTTGAAAATTTCCTAACGGTGAGTCAGGATGGGAAGTCCTGTCCGAGGCCCGAAGTGTTGACAAAGGTGGATCTTTACCTGAACTGAGTCTGTTTTCATTTTGCGCCTAAGAGATCAGTGGAAGATCTGAGTAATCCTTTTCCCCGGATCCCTCAGGGCACAGAGAGGGAGAGCAGAGACTACCGAAACCCCCACTATTATCTGTCCACCCCATCTGTGTGTGCTATACCTGTTCGTTGTTAACTATCCTATACCTGCCAACGACCCAGGTTCGATTCCAGTCAAAGGCATTTGCCCTGATTGTGAGCTGGATCCCCTGTAGGGGGCGTGCAGGAGGCAATCACCGATTCATCATTGATGTTTCTCTCTCTCTCTACCTCCCCTTCCTCTCTGAAATCAATAAAAATATATTTAAAATGAAGTGCAAAACAGCTATTTTCTCAGTCCACTGAGATCCCCCCCCCTCAATCTATTGAAATTTTGCTTCCCAGCAATTGCTGTGTTTGGCTTAAATAAACTCAAAATTTCTTACAGGTTTGGTCATTTCTTGCGTTTACATTCTAACTGTATAAAATAAGCCAGAAAACTGCCATTTACTGGAGCATTTTCTCAAGCCACGGAGATTTTACTTCCTGGCAATTGCTATTAATTGGGCTCAAATAAATTCATAAAAACTCTACAGGTTTGAACATTTCTCCCATGGACACCGGTCCCCCCCAATACCAAAGAGGGGCCCTGGGGGACCCCCTCTACCTCGCAGCCCCTCAGCCACAGGGCCTGGACCCTGGAGGGCGGGGAAACTCGCAGGAGGGCCTTGTCTGAGGGCCTGTGAGCCTGGCTCTGTCCCCCCCGATGCGGGGAGACCAAACCTGGGTGCGGCAACCTCGGTGTTGGGTTCCAGCTAGGAAGGAATTCAGAGCCAAGACCCAAACCGTGAGAGATGGTTTGTTTGGAAAGTCACAGAGGAGGGAAAGTAATTCCCAGAAGAAACGGGCTTCTGACAGGAGTTGTGGTCAAGGAAGGGCCCTAGGAGCTGGGGAGTGAGGAAGCTAACGGCCAGGAGCCTGGGGCGGGGGGGCGGGGGGGTGGGGGGAGGGGAAGGCCTGGGGGGAGGGGAAGGCCTGGGGGTTCTAAGGGAGGAGATGCTGCAGGAGGCCCCTCAGCAGAGCTCAGCAGACTGCCCGGCAGGCAGCTTTCCCGGTTGGTTTCCCGGCAGGGCCATCAATCAGGCTGCCGGGCCTGAATCACCGTCAGCTGCTGCTGCTGTTTATCGGGGCCTGGAGCGGAACACAACTGGGGCCTGGACGTTCTGTCTCCGGAGAAAAAAGGTCAGGGGGTCCACACCAGTGATGTGGGGGCGGGAAAGGCCCCTGGGGGAGAGGGCCCCCCACAACTGTCCTTTGCACTGGGCTTTCCATCCTGGTGACCAGCACCTGGCCCGTGGTCCTTGCTCCGCCTACAGCACCAGGGCTTTGAAGAGTGAGGGGAGTGGGAGAGAGGAGCCCTCAGCCCACAGGACTCTACCAGGCCGGCCCTCCCCTTGGAGCTGTAACCTCCGCAACCCGCCCAGCCCCTACCCCTGGCTCCTCCCTCCAGGGACACCCTCCCCGTTCTCCTCTGCAGCTTGGGGGGCACCTCCTCCAGGAAGCCTTCCTGGTCCAGGCAGTGCCAGTCCCATTTTGGGGTCTCACAGTCAGTATGCTACATCCACCCCAGCGTAGTTCATTCTGGATAACGGACCCCTCGTCCCCCATTCCTAGTGCTGGACTCTGCCTCCATGCTGCGCGTGCCAGCACGTGGTGACGGAGAGCAGAAGGAGCACCTGTGTGGCCACACCCAGCGCCGGGGAGCCCAGTGCCCGGGGTGATGTAAAGGCACTCCCTTCTCTAACCAGAACCGGCCGGAAATGAGTACACACGCACGGAAAGTCACGGCACGGCCCCCCCGTCCGCAGTCACCCTGTCTAAAGGTAGGCAGGCCGGGCAAACCCGGAATGAAATGTTCTCCGCCTGCAGCAGAGACGTGGGAGGGAAGGGGAGAGGGAGAAACATTGATGGAGACACACAGAGCCTCCCGCACAGGACCCAGGCCCGCCCTTGGCCTAGAATCCAACCTGCGACCCTTTTGTGTGCAGGCTGAGCTCTCACCGCTGAGTCATGCCAGCCAGGGCGAGACACGAGTTCCTGGGACCTGTGTCCCGCCTCCAGACACTCAACACTGAGTCACCCAGTCCCCTTGGGGTGGAGCAGCGTGACAGCTGGTTCTCTGCTGCCACCGTGTGGCCGCGCTGCTGGCTGCCCAGGCCGGCTCCTCGCCTACAGCTGGGTCACGGGGCGCAGGTGTCCGCAGGAGCGCCTTCCCCTCCCCAAGCCCGTGGGGAAGCCAGCTCAGGGCCCTGCAGCGCCCGAGTCCCCCCAGACCTCACACAGCCCGGCCTCTGCCTGGCCACGGCCTGTCCGAGTGCGCGCAGCTGCCACCTCGAAGGAGCGCTGGCCATGTTGCCCCCTCTGGGCTCGCCCGTCCCTCGAGGACTAGGGCCCACCTCTTCCTCCAGCCAGAGGGCACCTGAGGGGCGGCTGGGGGCCTAACCACGCAGAACCCGCCACCTCGGTGGCAGCACCCTCAGCGGCTCCTGCCGCCCGGCTTTCACCTGGAGTCAGAGCCCGAGGCCTTGACGATTCCTCCGGCTTCACGGTGAACGGTCCTCCCAGGTCCTTCCCGTGGCACATGCTGCTCCCCCACCCGCACTTTCCTGCTGGCCCGTCATCCCTCCCCGACGCCCTAGGTGCCCCCTGTCCCAGGCACACTCCTCTCGCCGTGACCACCTCACCCGCCAGGACAGGCAGGAGAAGCCGAGTCCGGCAGCGTCAGGACCGCCAACCAGGCACCTCGCCGGCTGCGGACACCGGTGGCAGCGGGGGCTCTGGACTTGGCCAGGAGCCGGGGGAGGACAGCAGGGACACAGGCAGGAAGGCCGCCAGGCCTGTGTGCAGGGCAGGCAGCGGCGCTCTGGCTGCTCCCCAGGGCTCTGAGGACCCGGGCAGGTGGCCTGCTGCCCTCCTCGTCCTCCTGGGAGCAGCGAGGGGCCAGGCAGGGCTGTGCTCCGTCTCCTGGGACAGTGAAGCGGGACCTCCCAGGGCGCCTTCGCCGAGGCCACCCACGTGGACGCTCCACGTGGCATGGTTTCCGCGCAGATAGTCTGGCCGGAGCGTGACTCATGCTCTCTGAAGACAGACAGTGGACGCTGTTGAGATAAACACGTCCTGTCTCCCCCCCGCCTCCGGCGAGGTGGCCACGCCATGGCAGGCGAGGAGAGGCCGTGCACTGAGCCGAGCTCTGCCCAGGGAGGGTCTCAGGAGAGCGTGGCCCAGGCTGGGCCCTCCCTGCTCGGCCTCCGGGGGCTCCCAGCTGTGCCAGGGCTCACTGTCCCCCCCTTACTCAGCCCTGCCCCTGCGAGTGGCAGCAGTCCACGGAGCAGAGCCACCGCCAGGGCTTCCCGTGGTTACGTGGCCGTTGGGGGCCCCCTCAGGAGCGAGGGGAGGCACAGGGGACTCAGACTGAGGGTGGGGGGAGGGCTGGGAGGGGCAGAGCCAGTGGGATGCTAGAGGAACCTTTCCGTGTGGAGGGACTTCGGCGGAATGAAAACAGCGCAAGCCCAGGGTCCCACCTGATGCTCGTCAAGGGAGGGAGGAAGGGAGGGAGGGCAGGGGCCAGGGCGGAGGACCCTGGGTGTGTGTGAGCCAGAGGGAGTGAGCAAAGGAACCAATGCCGAGGCCGACACCTGTCTTCCCCGAAGCACTTTAATGCACGCACCGTCCCTGCCTGCTGCCTGGGCGCGAGGGCCAGCCCCGCCCGAGTCCCGTGGCTGCCACGCCGTGGCCCGGGCGCGCCCGCAGCCCGTCAGTAGGTGAGGGGCGTCAGGATGAAGAGGCGGTCTTCTTCCTTGCGGATCCAGCGCATCAGCTTGTGGATGGCGTCCACGGCGGACGCCTTGGTCCCCAGGGGGCTGCAGCACATGTAGAGCTCGAAGGCATTTGTCACCTGAGGGAGGGCACAGGGCGGCCCCGGTCAGACACGCCCGGCCCTGCCGGCCCCGAGCCCGGCTCCCCAGCCGCCTTACCCAGGCCAGGAGGTTCTCGTGGGGGCCGGTGTAGTAGATGGTCTTGAGGGGGCGGGAGGCGTTGTGGGCGCGGCTGTGCAGGTACTGGTAGAGGCCCAGCAGCCGCTCCTGCTGCTCCTCGCTGGCGTACGGGGCCTCCATTTCAGGGCTGGAGGCAGGGCCCGGGGGGAGGGGAGGGGGTGTGAGAGGCCTGCTCTGGAGACCCAGAAGCACCTGATCCTGGCCGCCACCTGTCCTACCCTCCAGACGCTCCCCAGGACCGGGCCTGGTCTCCCCGCCACAGAAGACTCCCCGGAAGGGCTGAGTGCACCCAGACTGGAGGCCTGTTCTCCCCCGAGCTCATGGCACCTTCGCGGACCCTCCCTGAGAGAGGCCCGCTGGAGGTTCAGCGTCCAAGACGGAGGGAGGGAAGGGGAGCTGGGGACTCTCTGGACCCCACAGGAGTGAGGAGACACCAAAGCCTCCCCAGCTGGCCTCAGCCCCTCTGCGGGAGGAGGGTGGGGAGGAGCCCTGCATCCTAGGCTGGGCCAGAGACCCCCGAGTCAGTGACTCCAGGACAGGGGGCCCGAGACTTCTGTTCCGGCTCCGTCCCAGGTGCAGCCAGGGCATTTCAGCCGAAACCCATGTGGCTCAGTGGATAGAGCATCGGCCTACGGACTGAAAGGTCCCAGGTTCGATTCTGGTCAAGGGCATGTACCTTGATTGCAGGCACATCCCCAGTGGAGAGTGTGCAAGAAGCCCTGGCGGTGGCTCTGCTCCGTGGGCAGGGGCAGGCTGAACAGGGGGGACGGTGAGCCCTGCACAGCTGGAGCCCCCGGAGGCCGAGCAGGGAGGGCCCAGCCTCGGCCACTCTCTCCCCAGTGTTTCTAACTCTCTATCCCTCTCTCTTCCTCTCTGTAAAAATCAATAAAATATATTATTTTAAAAACATTTTTTTAAAAAAAATAAAGGAGAGGTGTGTGCGCGTGGAGGCGCCAGGGTCAGAGTAAAACAGCCGGTGTCGCTCCGTCCCCAGAGGGTCCTCCGCTCCCGGGCTGCCTCCGAGCTCAGGCCCCCCGCCGGCCCCGGCCCCTCACCTGGTGAAGAGCCCCGAGCTCTTGGACTTGTAGAGGAAGTGGCGCAGGTCGGGGATGCCCACCTGGGCGACGCTGTAGCCGGGCGAGCGCAGCGCCTCCCGCAGCGCCGCGTGGGCCCCGCGTCGGCGCAGGCGCTCGCGGAAGCGGCGGCGGCAGTCGGACACGGCGAAGAAGTCCTCGCGGTCGGTGGAGACGAGCAGCAGGCACAGGTCGGCGTCGGGCTCCAGGTAGGAGATGTGCGCGTGGAAGAAGCCGGCCGCGTTGAACTTGGGCAGGCACACGGGCGTCCAGGCCTCGCCCTCGCGGAAGGACGAGGAGGAGCTGATGAGGTTGCAGAGCAGGTGCAGGTCGATGGGGTGCAGCACCTGGTCGCGGCGCCGCACCAGCGCCACCAGCTGGCTGCGCGCCAGCAGGATGGAGAAGACCAGGCTGCGCGCGCGCGCCTGCTGCAGCCCCGCGCTCACCGCGTCCCGCACGGCGGCCGCCAGCGGCAGGCAGCGCGCCGCGCCCAGCAGGAAGCTGGGGTCCCGCGCCATGAGCTGCAGCAGGTTGTCGGTGATGCGCTCCGAGCCCGACAGCAGGCGCCGCAGGTCGTAGTTCTGCTTCTGCTGGAAGATGTGGCTCAGCTGCGCGCCCGTGAGCAGGCTCAGGATCTGGTAGTAGATGTACAGCAGCTCCTGCGTCAGCTCCTGCGCCGACTGCCGCGTGCGCGCCACGGCCACCAGCACCAGCGGGCTCCGCCGCACGAACACCACTTTGTAGCCGTCTGGGGGGGGGGGCGGGGAGGAGGGGGTGTCAGCTGCAGCCCCTTCCAGGAAGCCCTCCTGGACTGGCCTCGCCCAACTCCCTCGGAGCCCTACCTCCTGGCAGCTCGCCGCCTTCCACACCCTCTCCGCCCTCCTCTGAGCTCTGCACACAGTAGGGGCTTCAGGATGGGGAGAGAAACAGCCGCTCACGGCCCCCTTTCCCTGAGGGAGCCGGGCCTGTCCCTGCAACTTGCCTCACAGACCAGCACCAGCTGGGGAAGCACTCCAGAAAAGCACGCATTCCTGTGCTAACGGCAAGGAGAGCTGGGGGGGGCCGTCTCAGGACCTGGGGTTTGGGTCACCTCCCCAGCCTTCCCACTCTTTCCCCATCTGCGAGGGCAAAGCCCACAGCAGAGCCTCCTTTGGCCTCCACAGCCCCCGGGGCCGGCCAGGGTAGTATTCGCTGTTCAGATGAGACCTGGAGACGGTGAGTGGAGGGCCTGCCCCAGGCCACACAGCACAGCCCCCCCCTCCAGGTCCCACTGGGAAGTGACCGTGGCCGGGGAGCCCTTCCGGCCCCCTCAGGTGGCTCACCCGCGTGGATGGAGCGAATGGCGTTCTTGTCGGCCTCCAGGAAGGACACCAGGGCCACCATGACCCCCATGGTGCTGGACAGGGCCTCCTCGGACCCGTAGCGGGAGTACACGGGCTTCCCCGCCTCGCTCAGCACGAACACGTGCTTCTGGTGCAGCCGCCAGGCCTCCGCGGCCTCCTCCTCGTCCCCCTCTCCCGTGCCCTCCCGGGGGGGCTCTGTGGCCGGTCTCCCCGAGGCCCCCGGGGGCTCCGCCCAGTCCTCGGAGCTCCCTGGCAGCATCTCCTCCTGCAGGTCCCGGGCCACGCCCGTCAGCTGGGTGCTCAGCTCGCTGAAGTCCTGTCTGATCTGGCGCATGTCCGCGGGCAGCGGGGGCGGCCCCCCGGCTCCCTCCTCCGGACTCTCCCCAGCAGCTGCCCCATCCTCCGGTTCCGTCAGGTCCTCGTAGGAGCGGGCGTGGACGAACATGGCACCCTCCTGCCCGGCACCTGCCAGCCGAGAGCGCCGTGCTTAGAGCAGCCGCCGCCGCCGGCATGACTGCCCGTGTCCATGCGGCAAGTCCCTCTTCCCGCTGCTGCTGTCCGCCTGCAACTCACTGGCCACCAGGCTCCCCGCCCATCACCTGGGGGCCCAGCCCAAGCCCTCACGGAGGGGACAGCTGCTGTCTACCCGCCTCTCTCTCTCATCGGACAGCCTTGTCCATCCAGGCACACGGGCCTCTGTCCACCTGCTCCTTGGCCCCCAATGCCGCCCACCGACCCCAGGGCGTCCGCACCTGCTCCTCCCTCCGCCCAAAGGCACCCTTGCCCCTCGCATGGCCTGCTGTCAGCTCTCTGCCTCCTCACCTGACCCCCAGCCCAGCACCGTATCCCTCCCTCCCGAGTATCTCCTGTCGGTGACTGTCCTCCCCAACTGTGATGGGGTTCCCACAGGCCGGAAGCTGGCTGTTCACTGCGGTGTGCCCGGTCCCCTGCCCGATGCCTCCTGTGCGCAGTGAGTCTCCCCCGGGAGCCGGCCCTGCCGCTGAAGGGCCCCCCAGCCTGTGAGCCCCAGGGACCTGTCGTCTTCCTCTTCTGTTTTTGGGTTTGTTTGTTTTTGACAGAATAACTCAGCAGACATATTGTGGGTCTCTATGATGAGTTCAGCACTGGACTAGGCACTGAGGACACCACGGCTCTGTGCTCAGAGCTCAGAGAGAGATGGGCAATATGTACATAAAAAATAAAATTACAAAATAACCAGTGTTCTGTCCAGAGCAGGCCTGCCTCGCCAGGAGGTGACATTCACACCGAGCGCTGGAGCGGAGCCTGCAGGTTCACTGCGACCGCGGGCGGGCGGGCGGGAGAGAGGGAGAGAGGGAGGGAGGGAGGAGCCAGGCTGGCGGCAGACAGCCCGGGGAGTGTGGCCAATGTGTGTGTGTGTGTGTGTGTGTGTGTGTGCAGAGGGAGGCGGGAAGCAGACTGAGCTCGGTCCCCTGCAGGACCCCCAGCCTCTGACAATCGCCCAGTGAGCTGAGCACACACTCGATGGCCTGGGAGGGAGAGCGTGGAGGGAATCCAGGCCGACCGGGAGGCCGCTCTGGCGGCCAGCTGTGCACACCCTGCCCGTACCTGGCTCCTTGCCCTGGGCCAGCCCTGGGGTGGGGCTCTCGGCCCTCTCCACACTCTGCCCATCCGCAGGAGCCAATGTGCCGCCGGCGCCCTCACGGCTCCTCTTCCTCTGCATGTCAGCAGCCATCCCTTCGGGCCTCCTGTGGGCAGAGGACAGGCATCATCCAGGGGGAGGGAGGTGCTGCTGGCAGGAACAGGCATCGGTAACAGCGAGGAAGTGTCCCGCTCAGGACCCAGCTCCGTCCTCTGGGGTGGCCTCTGAGGACTCCCCTCTAGAAAATGAACTTGGTTGCCCTGACCTATGTGGCTCAGTTGGTTGAGTAACATCCCGTGCACTGAAAAGTCACAGGTTCGATGCCTGGCCACAGCACATGTCCAGGTTGTGGGCTCAATCTCTTTCTCTCTCTCTCATTCTTTTCCTGATCACAAAAGGAAGAATTCATGGTTATCTATTCATTGTTGAAAACTTGGAAAGGACAAAAATAGTATAAAGAAAAGATGTCATTTCCCCCATGCACATTTTCCACTGTTCACACTTCAGTGTATTTCCTTGTAGTCTTTTTTCTAATGTATATAAAAGGCAACATTTTTTACAAACTGGTAACAGCAGGTAAAGCTCATTGAATGCCTAGGCAGCGGCTAAGGAATGTGGATGGAGTCCGCTGTTCCTGATCACTGCTCTCCGAGGAAGGCGCTCCTACCGGGCCAGCTCTGGAGAGGAAGGAACAGGCTGGGAGAGGAAGTACTGGCCCCATATCACCGCAGGAAGGAGGCATGAGAGCTGGGAATTGAAACAATTCTCTATCCTGATACCTTTCACTGAACATCCTAGCAAGCACAATGCTCCATTCCAGATGGAGTTGAGCCCGGCCGGCGTGGCTCAGTGGTCGAGCATCAACCTATGAACCAGGAGGTCATGGTTCGATTCCCAGTCAGGGCACTTGCCCAGTTTTCGGGCTGGATCCCCAGTGTGGGGTGTGAAGGAGGCAGCCAATCAATGATTCTCTCTCTCCTTCTCCCTTCCTCTCCGAAATCAATAAAAGCATATTAAAAACAAACAAACAAAAAAAACCAGGGTTGAGCAATCGTTTTCTTTCTGGATATGTAGGCACTTGCCGTGTGGCCTCTGGAGGCCCTGCCTGCAGGGAAGACTTGTCCCCACTAGTAATTGAGTGTCAGGAACGTCTCTGGAGAGGGACCTGAGTTAACCTGGTTTGCTTTCATAAGTCTCAGTTTTCTCATCTATGAAATGGGGACAGTGATAATACAGACTCATCAGGCCGTGAAGCATTAAATGAGATAATCCATGTCATCTGGCTACCCCGGCGCAGAGTAAGTACAGCACACTCAGCTGCTGCCATTCAGACCACGTGTAGCCAAAGAGCTGTCTACGGGATTAGGGCTGGGGTTCCTCCCGGCCTACGGGCTCCTCCTCGGCCCTGGGCGTGCAAGAACAGACATTCACCCGCTCCCTGCTGCTCCTGGGTCTCTCCCAGGTTGGACTCTCTGGTCCTCCACGTGTTCCCGTGCTTTAGCCTGGCGTCTCCGGCTCTCAGGTCCCAGCAAGATCCACAGCAGCTTCCCCAGTGTCCCCTGGGGCCACTGCCCAGGCGCCTTGTGGCTTCAGGGGTCCGAGTCAAGCCTGGCGGGGGAGTACCCACATGGACTCCCTTCACCGCAGCTGCCCTGCCACCTGAGACCATGCAACATGTCAGCATCTCCAAGGCCAACTGGGGACCCCGCAGGAGCCCTGATGAAGCAAGCAGCTCTCCAGACACTCACCCTGAAACTAGGCAGGGAGCAGAGCCACCCCAACCGCCCCTGGATCGTAACCCGGACCGCCAACTCCTGCGCAGCTGCGCCTGAAGCGGCTGAGGAAGAGGAGATGGTCCCTGGGGCGCTCCTCCAGCAGCGCCTCGGACCCGGCTATTTGCCTAAAGGTGCTCAGCTGTGACTGGAGCAGCCCGCACGCAGGCCTGCCTCGCTCAGGTGCCCGCCCCACAGGGGAGAGGGCCGGGCCGCAGCCCTCCCCGCTGGCTCCCTCTTCCTGCCCGCAGCATGGGCCTGGGGGGAGGGCCTGGGGAGAGGGTGCCGAGGCCCAGGTGAGGCTGGAGGTGCTTCCGGGGGAGGCCGCCTCCGGACGCGGAGCTCGCCACGCCCCTCTCCACAGGCGCACGGCGCCGCCCCCGGCAAACTCCAGCCCAGAGCGGGTGGCTCACCCAGGCCCGGGGCAGCCCGACCGGGAGCCAGGGGACCCCCGTGGGCAAAGGCCCAAGGCACAAGGCACGTTCAAGGGCTGCCCGCTCCGCCCGGCGCCTCTGCGGACCTTGGAGAGAGAACTCTGCGCGCGGAGTGCATTGGGGGGCGCGCCCCTCCTGGCCGCGGCCCCTCCAGGACTTCGCCCTCCCGGCCGAGGGGGGCTCCGGGCCTCCCCAGCTGGGGACCCAGGGGCTAAAGACCGGCCAGAACCTGCCCTCCCACCGCCCCGGGCAGCGCAGCGGGCAGGACCCCCTCCGCGCCCGCCGCAGGCCCCTCCCCCAGGATGACAGCTCGCCCGTCCCCCGGCCCCCCGGCCACGTGGTTGGCAGTCGGACCTACCTCTGTCCGCGGGGCCCCGGGACGCACCGACCGCCGGTCACTGCCCTCGGCCGGGCCCCCGGGAGGGCGCCGCGATCGGGCCGGGCCGGGCCTGAGAGCGCAGGATCGCGGGGCCACGACGCCCTGCGGACACCGACATGGCCCCGGCGCCGCCCGCCGCCCCCGGCCCCCGCCCGCCGCCCGGCCGCCGGCCCAGGAAGCCCGCCCGCGCCCGCCTCGCCCCGCCGAGGCCCGGCTCCAGCCTCCCGGCCCGACCCTGCCCGCCGCCGGCTGCATGATGGGAAATGGAGTCCGCAGCGCGGCGCCCGGGCCGGGGGCGGGGCGTCCGGTCCCCGCGGAGCCCGGCCGGGCGGGATCGGGGAGGGGCGGGGTCGCCCGCAGCGCCTGCTCCCGCGCCCGGCCCCGCCCAGCGCCTCCCCGAAGTCCGGGTCCTGCGTGGACCCGCGCCCCGGCCCCGGCCCCGGCCCCGCGCACCGGTCCCCGGCCCCGGCCCCGGCCCCGCGCCCCGGAGGCGCCTGTCGCGGGAGGCGGAGGCGGGGGCGCTGCTCTGGCTGTGGGAGGGCCGGGGCCGGGGAGGGTATAAACGGCTCTAGTTTGCGGTAAGGGAGGGAAGCACTTCAGTTGTTGCTCAGGAGAACTTCCTTTTAGCCGAAGGTGACCAGACGTCCAGCTTTTGGCGGGACAGCCCGGATTTTTAACAATTTGTTCCGCGGCGTTTTAAAAAAGTCCCGATTTTTAGCCGCGTTTTAATACTATACGAAGAGGCTCCAAACAATAATTCTCAAATCTGACTGCACATAGGGGGACCTGAGGAGCTTAAAAACGAACAAAACCCTGATGCCAGACCCTGAGGGGCTGGGGGTTAGAGCATCTCCGCCCTCTGCCTGCAGGTCCGGACGCAGACAAGAATCAGACAATGAATGCATATGTAAGTAGAACAAAAATCGATGTTCCTCTCTCTCTCTCTCCAATCAATAAATAATAATGAAAAAAAAAACACACAGAAAACACTAATGCCTGGACACCACCCCTAGAGAATGTGATTTGATTGAATTGGGATAAGACTCTCACGAGAGCATCTTTTTAAAAGCTTCCCAGGTGATCGGCCAGGGCACGGAACTGCTACAGAATCTGTACTTTCCTATATGCAAAGCATTAAAGACAGGAACACGTAAAGCTTCCCCAAACAGTTTTATTTTTGGAGAACAGTTGAAAGATGTAGAACTAGGGATTAACAACAATACTGCTCCTGTGTTCTCCGAAGCAGTTACATCGATTTACAGCTCCGTAGTTCACTCCCGGACAGTTCCGGGTGCAGGAAGAGTCTGAAGTCATCTTTGATTCCCCTCGCTGGTCAAGGTCCCAGAGCCGTGCCCTGCCCTGCCCTGAGCTTGTCCTGTGGTCTCAGAGGCTGCCCCTCTGCAGCCTCCCTCCACAGCCCTGGCCTGTGGTCACATGGTGATGACAGAGCTGTGGCCCAGCTCCTGAAAGATTCCCAGGAAAGGAGACAGGAGGGAGGAGGAGCCTCTCAGGTCTCCAAGGTCATTCCCTATTCTCTCTCCTCACCAGCTGGGGTGTCCAGGCTCTCTCTCTTACAGGAAATATATATATATATATATATATCACATTTGTATAGTTTCGTTCTCATAAAGTCCCACTAGTTTCATTATGAGAGTGTAAGCCAAGAAGACCTCACCTTCTCTGATTTGGTACAGAAACATTTCCTGAACCGAAAAAAGGTGCCTGGGTTGCAGGCTCAATCCCTGATGGGGGGCAGTGCAGGAGTCAGCAAATCAATGAATCTCATCACTGATGTTTCTATCTCTCCCTCCCTTTCCCTTCCTCCTTGAAATTACTAATATATATGTTTTGTTTTTTAGTTACATGACTGCTTTTTTCATATGTATATGAAATATATATGAAAAAAGCAATCATGTAGGTAAAAAACAAAATATATTTATTTAAAGATGGCCCAGTTTGGGAAGGAAAGTCAAAGTACCCACAGTTCTTCTTTTTTTAAAATATATTTTATTGACTTTTTACAGAGAGGAAGGAAGAGGGATAGAGAGCTAGAAACATCGATGAGAGAGAGAAACAGGGATCACCTGCACACCCCCCACTGGGGATGTGCCCTCAACCAAGGCACATGCCCTGGACTGGAATCAAACCGGGACCTTTCAGTCCATAAGCTGATGCTCTATCCACTCAGCCAAACCGGTGGCGGCTACCTACAGTTATTTTTAGCTGTCCCTCCTCTTCTCTGGGACCTCTTTAGTGCCGGTGTGCCCCAGAGCCCAGGGCTGGAACTCTGACCTATCAGTGCACACTTACTCCCTTATTGCCTCGACCTTCTCAACCAAGCCCAGGGCTTTAGATACCAGCACTAGCTACGTTGATACAGCCCAGAATTGCCTCTCTAACTCTGACCTTTACCCTGAACTCCAGGCTGATGTATCCAACTGACAACTAGGCATGGAAGACTCCCAACTGACTCCTGCTCTTTCTATCAAAACTACCCCTCCCACATTCTGCCCTCTCTTTCCTCATCCTAGCTGCTCCTGTGACCACTGTGACCACACAAGTACCATCCTGTTATGGTTATATTATCACAAGTCTCTTAACTGGACGTCCTGCTTCTGACCTTCCTATCTTCAGCTTATTCTCCACACAGCAGCCAGAGGGATCCTATTGGCACGGAAGGCACGTGTGTTATTCTACTAGCGGTCCAATGCATGAAAATTCGTGCAAGAGTAGGCCTTCCTTCCCCTGGCTGCCGGCACCAGCTTCCTTCTGGTCCCTGAGACCCGGCTTCCCTCCGGCCTCGGCTTTCTCAGGAAGGACATCTGGTCTAATTATCATGTTACCCTTTTATTATTATTATTAATTATTATTATTATAATAGATTTAGAGCCAACAGCTTTTCATCTCCCTTCTTACATAAACCAAACTCATTTCAGCAGAGGTTGTATTTCTTGTTTAATAACCACCCTCATCTGCATCTCCACTATTTTTTAAAGTTTTTTTTATAAGTATTTTTAAAAATTGATTTCTGAGATGGAGAGAAAGAGAGAGAAACATCAATGATGAGAGAGAATAATTGATTGGCTGCCTCCTGTACATTCCCACTGGGGATTGACCTGCAACCCGGGCATGTGCCCTCGACTGGAATCGAACCTGAGACCCTTCAGTCTGTAGGCTGATGCTCTATCCACTGAGCCAAACCGGCTAGGGCATAAGCTTTGCTTTTTCCCTGTATCTCTAGCACCTGATACAGTGCTTGGCAGACAATAGGTACTTAATACAATTCTTGAGTGAAGGAC